TTTTTAATTAAGCGAAGAAAGGCAAAAGTTTAGCGATGAATATCTCAAAGCTCGTTGTTTGTTCACAAACCTTCTAAATTGGGTTGGCCTTTAATAATGACTCCCTTTAAAGCTGCAGTTGCAACATGGCCATTAAACCGTTCATTAACCCTTTGCCTACCGCAAAAATTAAAAAGAAAAGATTTAAAAATACAGATTTTTTTTATGTGTTTCACCTTGTACCGCAGGAAAAGCTTCAAGCGCGAGCTCCTTGCTCTATGGCACACCTCGGTGGCACAAGCTCTCGTGCACCAAGGGCAGCAGCCAACGCTACGAGCTCGCGCTTCTAGCCTTCGCTGCGGTGCAACATAAGGTGAAACCGACACGTGCACCGCTCAAAGTGAAAAAAAAAAAGGCGGGCTCCGCGATTTTTTCTGGATAACTCGAGTACAGTGCCGCCACAAACTGTCAATACACGCGCCCTCACGAGCTCCCGTTGCCGAGCCGCTCCGGTCCCAACACTACCCAACTATTCTAGTACACTGTAGCGACGCGGCCCGCTTTGGATAGTTCCAAGGAACGCCGCCCCACACTCCTGGCGCTGCTACCCAGAGACCGGCTGGACGGCGTCCGCAAAGGCTCCTTGGCCGGCACCTGCGGAGGATAGTGGGGCGCGCAGCTTGTAAAAGTACGCTACATATACATATACTTTCGCATTCCTACATGTAAGCAGTTAAGTGCCTCCTGTAAGTTTTTCCTTTCATTTTCATACAAACTGCCAGCTTTCAATAAAGTGTTTGAGGCATCATAGAAAAGTTTGAATGCATTTGGGGATTTGTAAGTTTTAAGTCGTTCTCAGATATATGGACCAGGCTAGATGAACAGGTAGTCCTGAACGTGCGCCTCCGATACCTTCAGCAGATTGTCATTTCTTTGAGAAACAAGTGCTTTTCTTTTCATCCAATGATCAAGAATGCATGTCGATCTTTATAATAACATTTTAGGAGATACAGAGATAAGCACTTGACGGTGAGATTTTTAAAGTACTTGCTACTCACTCGTGTCCTAAAAAACAAGCGAAAACAATAGCCAACTGAAAGTAACATATTCTCCCTAGAAGTTTCGCCATTATTTGTTTTTGTTTACCTCCGCACAATCTGGATACATGGTATTCGGTCCACTTCCGGCCGCCGTGACAGGGAGCCAAGAACACATCCGGTTCGGACATTCTTGGCATGCTTTTAGAAAGCAGCATCGTCGCTATGTTTTGTTTGTTTTGCAATTAAATCAGTCTTTCCTTTTGTTTTCGGCGTCCACTGGCTTCTTGAACTGCTGTAATGTTTTGTAATTCACTGGGCAACTTTGCTATGGCAGATCTCTATGAAATAAAAGGTGCAACAAGCCGTGACTCCACGGCCTTCGAGCGCGCTTAATTTTGAAATCAAAGATTCACACATCTGATCCTTCCAGACAGCGAAGATATTTATGACACAAATCACACTTGAGTTCGTATGCAGATAAAATATTGATTGAAATATTAATAGTATTCGCCCAAATATAACTTAATATTTCAGCCTGAAACCTGGTTTTCATAGCAGAGACCACTGACACAGACCTAACCTAACCTAACCTAACCTAACCTAACCTAACCGAACACAAGCCGCCACATTGTCGTAGCAGTTGTCGAAGGTCAATATCAAGACCGTGAAAAAAGGTTCAAGCATTTATTTCAAGTTTCTTTGCAGTTTGTATTCTTGGTCGTCCAGGTAGTTGTCAAAGAGGGAGATGAGTGCGAGGGGATGAATCTTCTTGTCGTACTGCTTGAGGGCTGGACAGGAGCGCCACTTGTAGCGAAACATTCTGTGGTTGAAGGCTTCGTCACGTGGGAAGGTCTCGTTGTTGCTGAGCACAATCACTGGGGTCCGCGTCACAATCATGTCCGGCGAGTACTTGACCGCTACATTGTCCACATCACCACCAAAAATTTTCTTGATCGTTTCGTATGCAGCCGATTCGCAGTTTGGCTCGTTCCAAATCAGCACTCGCTTACCTACCGCGTCCTGGAGCGGAAAGTTTGAATAGCGATTAAAGTTGTGAATGGTGCCGCGGTTAATGTAAAAGCTGACGACGGCATCAAAGAAAAAGTTTTTACCTGCACTAGGGGGTGACACCACTTCCATACAGTTTTTCATGGGCACGCGACGTTCTAGTAAATTGTACAAGTCGTGTACAAACTCCTGCACCTCCTCTCCGAGTTGATACTCGAGCAAACGTACCATGGCGTCGTACGATGCGCTCACGTCCATGTAATAAGCACTAATGTTGCCGTGAGGCGCGTCAAAAAGTGGGTTAGTTGTGGAATAGAGCTGAATGTAATCTAGGGTAGTCCAGTTGCACAGCTGCTCATTAAGTACCTGAATCGCGCGTTGCAAGCGTTTATCGTCGAGTTGTATAAAGCGCAAGTCTGGACTGTCTAGCCATACCGGCGTTCGAATTATACTGTTTAGCGGCGAAACCGGATTTCGGATGATGACTCGGTACAGCGATTCTTCTGTATGTGCGTTTTGACGTCTTCTGGTTTGACCTGCAGTACTCGTTCCTGGGCGTAGCGACACAGCGTCTTGATCGCCTCCTGTACTTCTGGAGCAGTCTTCACAGGCACTTGTACTCGGAAATGCTCCAAGTAATGTTTCCACTGTTCGTGAGCTTCCACATCCAGTATGTCCTCTGTGTTCCACAGGCGCAGCTCCAAGGTATTCGCGCCAATCGGCTCCTGCCACCGCAAAGTGCTTGAGCCGACGGGGGTTTGTAGCAAGATACACGACGAGACGCCAGTAGTCCCACCCGGTGGCATTACTAGTCCAAATCGAAGCGCGATTTGGTCGACGGTGGATCCCATAAAAGGCAACGCATCGGCACGATCCGTTTGACCATGCGCAGTCGTGGACCACGTGCACGTGGGGTTTTCGGCATCCGTCGAGGTGAAAAGAGACGGCTGTGAATGCGAATCCTGACCGGGGGTCCTCAAAGCTTCGCGAGAGCGTTTGATACAGGCTCTCAGCTTCTCCAAGACTTCCAACGGGAATAACATCGTGCACAATTCTTCGTCTCGTCGGAACCCGTCGTAACTCCTCTGCCCATCTGGCTGGAACCGGAGGGGATTGGTAATCTTCATCCATTCCCGTTCGTGCTGCTCCTGATTGGGATATATCGTCTCCTGGTATTTGGTCCAGCGCTCTAGCAAGGTACGCAGAGAAATCCAATGGTTGGACATACTGAGTGGCAAGTCCTGAGTCACCTTCTCGACGAGTTCGTCCATGCTGTCCCTATAGACATGTGGACCATCAAACATATATTCTAGCAGAATGTGTAGCGGTACCTGGTCATGATGATCCACCTTTTGACGTTTTGGCTCGGGCGAATCTCGCTCCATTGCGTCCTAAACAAGAAACGGCGTTTAAATTTCTGCAAGTGGTAAAAGGAAAGTTTGAATTTCCCGCCTTATGTCTGCGCCCGTACAAAATTCAAAGCTTGCCTAGTGTAGTACATCTAGGCACAGAAAGGAGAAAAATTCAAACAGGGCATAGTAAGATGGCTGGCTTACCTGGTATCGGTCTGCTTGTAGGTCCACCCGAGCCCTGCAGACTGATTTCGCTCCTATAGTGGGGCTTCTTATATACTCACTGATCATGTGACCTCCAGGGTTTTTCCGAAGGTCGTCTTGCTAGGCGGAAGCTTTTAACCACCTTTTCTTGGAATTTACTTGACATTGATTAATTCTGTCTGCCTTTTAAGCAGCTTTTCCAGGAAATACCACACATTGATTAATTCTGTCTGCTTTTTAAGCAGCTTTACCAGGAAATACCACACATTGATTAATTCTGTCTGCTTTTTAAGCAGCTTTACCAGGAAATGCACGACATTGGTAAAGTTTGGTATGCTAATTTAACCTTGACTAACTTTGTCTTTGGAACCAGCTCGGGTATATAAGACCGCACGGTACTTGGGACGACTACACCGACGACAAGGACCACAACAAGAGGCTCCCCTGCTGCAGGAGATATCCAGATGGAAGGAACCGCCGAAAATCCGGTGGCCCGGGGGGCCAAAAATTTGACTTTGTCCAATTGGCCCGAGTGTGGTATCATTGAAGAGAGCTCGAAGAATGCTGCTCGGTGGTATAGTTTGTTTTTGGATTTGGCCCGGGCCAACTCTTTGGACCCAATTTTGGGCACCTAGATGTGGCCCTACGCAGTCGTGTTGGGTACCGTTCGATTCGTCTCTTTGAGCCCTTTCCAACGATACCAATGTCGACCAGTTTCGGCCCGGTCCAAATTTTGGCAGTTTTGCAAAATTTCGGGTGTGGCCCTACCCCGGCGTGTGAGGTATCAAACGAAAGGTCTCGGCGAGTGCTATCCCGCAATTCAAGTCTGGTTTCGCTGCGACCAATAGGAAGCGAGATGCAATTTTTCAAACGTTTAAATTTGGCGCCAAAGTGCACGGGTTGCCAGACTGCCTATATGAAAAGTAGATAAACTTGGCATAATTATTTTCTTTTAAGCCTAGGTTGGCGAGAGTGGTATCAATCGAAAGCTAAAATCGAGCTCTACATACCGGTGCAAGTCTGGACATGCTAGGCCTAGCGGCTCCCTAGTTACCGTTTGTTTTGTCGTAGCTGTTGTCGGTGTTATTAAAAAAAGTATATATATATCTTTTTATGCAGATCTACATCGACGACGACATCCCCGAGGCGTCCGAGACGGAGAGGGAGTTCGGTTCGAGAGAGAGGGCATTGGAGCGAGCCGTGGCACTGCAGTTTTGACTGCCACCTGATGGAAGAATTTGAAAATGAAATTTACAGGAAAACCGGCTGAATTGCATGCTAGCGCAACAAGCCGAGGCATAGCATGCGAGGTCATGAATGGAAATTTCAATCACCTAAATTTAGTACAAGAAGAGGACGAGACCAATTTTTGGAACGAGCAGAAAACGAGCATTGAATTGAGCAGAGTTTACGCTTTTATTCAGCAGCTCTAGAACCGAATAAAAATTTACGGTTCAAAAGGAACGAGGTGAGATGATGTCTTGGGAAGGTATGTGTAGTGGCCCAGGTGCGTCTGCCGGTTGTACGGCACGTACATGCCAAAGTTGGTCTTTTCAAAGTGTTGCTCCTGCGCCGGGTAGCAAGCGTCCATGGGATTAATCGTGTCGATATCCGTGTGCAGCACAATTTCAGTGTCGACCTGGAAAAAGGCAGCAACTTCTTGAAACTTGTCCCCCGATCCCGGTTGGTCCAGATTCTTTTTAGATACGGCCATCATGCCGAAACCCACACTAGGTTGAGCAGCGTGCAAGTTGGGATGAGGTCCGAGTCCCTGGCGGCCCCATTCACGTTCGATTGGGTTGGTGTACCGTGTAACTTCAGTGTTTGGGGAGAGTTTGGTTGGCGAGGAAACACCTGGAGGGCTCTCCTTGTCGTTGTCCAGGCTAGAGGCCGTCTTGGTCAGGCTGTCGGCCGGTGCTGCAACATAGGTCCTGCTGTTGCCGCAATACGGTGGACAAGTCTTGATCCAAGCGTTTTGAAACTCGTACTCGTAGTTGATGATGGGTATTCCAATGTGGCTCTTGAAGGGATACACGTTGACAAACTTGTTGGTGCGAAGAGCAAAGTTGGCACAGTGAATAAAGTCGTAGCACTTGTTGTGGCGTGGAACACCCATACACGTTGGTATCTTGTCCGACTTTGTCATGATCAGGTTTTCGTCCATGCTCATGCCCCAATACTTTTCAATGAGGTGTCTGTGGTCCGCGTCTTTAAGCTCTGTGGGGTTGGATGTATACATGGCATTGTCTGCGCCTCCGGGACCGGGAACGCACATGCCAGTGTCCAGAGATAGGTTAAGGCCCACTGCGCTCACGCCGTATACCATCATGTCCGAATTGACGGGTTGTACGACGCTGCTCCCAGTCTTCCACGGAGTGCGAATGCCGTGCGGTGTAATTTTGGCACTGCACTTGATGGCCTTGGTGTTGTCGGATAGCATATTGAAATGCGCCGGAGTCATGTAGAGGTACAGATATTCGACGGGTAATCTGCTCATCGAGGTCTGGTAGCCCTTGTACTTGTAGCTGTGTGCATAGGTAATCTCGGTTAGCACTGTGACATAGCCCCTGGTGGTAAGTAGTTTACTGTCACGATGCACCCGAACCATTCCTTTGTCTCGGGGGATGCGCAAAATCTGCTGTACGACGACTCCGTCATTCGCAGCGTTACTTCCAATGCCGGCTCCTCCTTCGTTCCGCAAGGCTTGCGACTGCTCTTCTTCCTGGTTACTGGTGGTGCTATCTGCCCTGGCTCGCTCTCCGGAGTAGAGGGCCTGGTTGATGAAATTTTCGACGCTGCTACCGTAGAGCTTTTTAAATTCTGGTGAGCTCCCGCTGCATTCACTGTGACCACGTTTCCGTCCGGACATTGCTCCACTTCGTCCATAGAGGAAACGACCGATTACCTTTTCTTCCACCAAATTCTTGAGACCGAGTCCCGCAGCACCGACCAACGAGTGGAAAGATCCTCTGTCGGCCCAGTCGCCCACAAAGTCGTGGATGGCGTCCTTGTCGGCAGCTAACACGTCCTGGTCGGTCTTTGCGTCCGAGTACCTCCTGTCGTGCTCCCGGGCAATAGAGTCGTCCTCGTCCACCGGCTCTCCATTGTTTAGAGGATTCCCGGGTCCCAGGTAGCGGTGGCCTGGAAAGAGAAAGCGCATGCCTGTTTAAATCATCACACGGTCCATGATAGCCGACGACATCAACAACGACAAAGCAGTCCCCCTAATAACGCGACTATTTTCTAACCTAACCTAACCTAACCCAGGGGTGGAACGGCTGCGCCATTTGCGCCATTTTGCACCAGACGCATTTGTCTGCGCCATCCTGCGCCATGTTTCGGAAACTGCGCCACAGTCAATACCTCGCGCCATTATGCACCAAATTGGAAAACGTGCGCCAAAAAAATTGTATTTTGTCTTGGTTTCGGTTTCTATCGACTCGATTGGCAACAATGATCGCGTTTAGCTTGGTCGGCCTTGCAATCCTTTTTTTCTCTTTATTCTCCCTGTGTATCCCGAGTAGGAAGTGTGCGAAAAAAACTCGGGGTTCGGATTCCAAGCGCTACACCATCTGCCTCTGGATTGTTATTCTTCAACCATAAGCGGTTAAACAAGTCGGTCGAGGTAAGGTCGAGTCGTTAAGCGTCAGATTGCCTGAGGCTCCGAAGCCCGGGATCCGGACGTCAGTCAGTTGAAAACAAATGAGCAAAAGATTCCTTTGAGCACTTCATCGTTAGAAGTTGGAACCGCATTCCTGCAAGATAAATCGTGATTTGATAGATCTGAAACGCAGTCCGATCCGAAACCTTGCCGGCCAGCAGCTCTCACGCGAGCGGTAGATCTGCTCGGCATACGTTAACCTTGCTCCTGCTTATCGCTTCGAATACGATAACTCCGTTAATTGTAGTCTGCTGCTTCGATATTGAGTTGCACAATAGGATAAACTCGAATTTTGTTGCGATATTGAGTTGCGCAATATGAGAAACTCGAAATTCGTTTCCCTGTTCTTCCGCGCAACTGCACGTTCGTTGCTTACGCACGTCACGTGGTTCGCACATAAAATCACTCTGTCGAGGACGTGTGGACTGTGCGATAAGCGGTGCTGGTTTGCATTTTGAGCAGCTGAAAGCCACTCAGAAAATATCAAGGCTCACGAAGTTCCAAGGTTTCGCTTCTGTTACACTGTTATCCCATCTGCCTAGGTCCCTAACCACTCATGTTTATCTGGGCTGCTAAGCGCAACTGAAATTGCTCCCGTGCTTGTCTAAGACACAAGCTGGAGTGCAATGAAAACTGATCTGAGCTGCTCCTAGCCTGCTCCAGAGTGTAGTTTTAGCTGCTCCCAACCTGCTCCAAAACAGCTGTTTTAGCTGCTCCCGTGGCTGCTCCCAAGCACATTTCATGAGTTCCACCCCTGCTAACCTAACACAAGCTGCCACATCAATTTCAGAAATGTCACTTCGATGTCCAAAAGGCAGATTTTTTCTTTTCAGCATGCAATAAGGCATCTGTTCGTTGCATGATTAAAGCAAGATGTGAAACTGCATGAAACCACTGGTAGCATTCTCTCTATTTTATTACTCGCCCTTGCCGTCAAACACAACAACGCTTCTGTATGTGTGCCCAAACAGAATAGTTTGAACAAATGGGATTTGTTTCTAGGAGTTCGCGTAATTGTAGCAAGTCAGACGTGAAACTAGTTTTCTTACCTTATCACCAGGGTTCTAGAATCCAAAATAGCCTTTTGATGTCAGCGACTGCAACTGTATCCACGTGAATATCATTCACGGAATCGCTGAGGTAGGTCGATGTGGTCACAATCAATATACCTCCTGTCATCTTTGCAAACACGCTGCATGTTTTTTTTTCTTTGCGGAGAACAAGCAGTGGAATTGTACGTACTGTGATATCTTTGTCCCAGTCACAATATCTACACATTGAAAATGCACCGCCCACTTTTTCTAGGGCACAATCAAGCACGGTTGGCAGAATCCTTCCCACCCTCCTTCATCTATGTCTGACAGGCATAGTGTAGTTTAGCTTTAGTCAGCTCGAACACTCACGGCAACGACGCGCAGATATCGAAGCAATCTTTTGCTCGTACTCGCTCTCCCATGCACAAAAGGCATGAAACAATTACATGTCTCGGTTGATTTGTGGGCGTCTAGCTTCGTTGAATATCTCTCGTGTACACAAGTTTCACTGGGACGTCAGGTAGGGCCACATAACTTTCGCCATGGAGGCCAAATAAAACCAGATTCGTTGCTTTTCCTTGCAAAAACATGCATTGATTCATCTTACGTCTGGTTTTCGACATACCTTCCTGATGTTCCTCCAAGAAATACTTGAAAGACGTGCTGCTCATCCTTGCTCATTGAAACATCCACAGGAAGCTTGTCGGCCGGAAGTTATCTTGACCACAGGAAGTTCCACCATTACTTGTTTAGGTTTGCCTTGGAATACCATGTATTCCAAGGTAAACACTGCTGGGTTAAATAAAGAATATCAGTATTAATGCTTCAAACTCCTAGCAGTCTTGCTATCGTCATTCATCATCATCATTTTGTTTCCTTGAGGGCCCGCGGGGCATTGTACAAGTGAGTGGCAATAAAACAAAAAAGTGCACTAAACACGAGTGTAACACTGTAAGCTGGTTATCTAAGTTAGAAAGAGGTTAATAAATTCAACAAATTTATTAGTATCATTTATAGAAACAATCTGAAGTAGTGAGTTCCAATGCTCGGCAGCCAAAAGTTGTGTGGAAGTGTGGTGAGAAACAGTTGATGATCGAATTGAACATAGTTTACGTAGCTGATGATCTAAACGAGAGAAAATATGGTGGGGAGGTGATAGTAATGGTTCTCTGAGGTGGGTATTGTGATAGAAAATTCAATGATGGGGAGGCAGGCTTTACACTCGGCTGTGAAGGGGAAGTGGATAAAAGTTAGCCAATTGGCATAATCCTGGTATGCTGGTATATGCTGAGTAGTTATAAATAAAATTAAAGGCTTTGTTTTGAATGGATTCTACATGATTTGTGAGGTACGACTGCCATGGAGACCATGTAGATGAGGCAAATTCCAACTTAGAACTTATAAGAGGAGTTCATGCTAGTCATTTTACCGAGGGTGTAGCAAGTTTGAGGTCGATCAAGTAGCAGAGAAGTTACTGGCAAACTGGCCCCCGCTCAAAAGTTGTGTCCATGGTAAGCTTCTTTTTTTTTTTCCGCGGCCGCAGTGGGGTTATTGCGTGAACGGCAGTGGGCTCACACGTTCGGCACAAATATCTGAGAGTATGGTTAGTATCAGCAGGTATCAGTATCGGTGTCAATATGGTTAATTCATTTCACTCAGGCGTGTGCCCATCTCAAATACTCTTTTCAAGATACTATATTTAAAATAATTTGGTAGTAATCTGGTTTCTTGAAAATATTTTTAATTGAGAGTATTTACTTCTCTCTTTCTTAATTAGACTTCTCGCTGTCTTTTACTATCGTGAACAATATGGGCATGAATGCCGGAGCACGTGGCCTTCGATATATTCTGCACTAACTGGAGGCTGATAAAACAATATAGTTGAGAGGGGAAGCTGCGAAGGTGTGCACACCGGAGAAAGTGCACATTCTCGCAACCCTGAGGCTGTGCAGCACGTTTTGAAGGCCACACCCGCAACTCCAGCTCGTACTGTTCATAATAGTACTCATTATCTCGTAGCATCTTCGATTAACTTGCACCGGAATTGCCCCGAAACGGTGTGCAGCGCATTGAGTCGGTGCAATTTTGAAGACAAAATGCACTTCGCAGGGACGTCTGTTTTTGCACGCCGGTATGCGGCAGTCGCGTGATAAGAGATTATGTGACCATCTTTCTAGCCCCTTCCTCAATTTTTGTATTTCTTTTCATATTGTTCTCTTTGCTCTTGCTCCAAGATTTCTCCCTGCATTTTTTGTTTGTTTTTGCTTTATTATTTTTGCTGAGATCTGGGCAGTGCGTGCTAATGATGTGCTTCATGTTCTTGTGCTACAGCGCAGTCCAAGCAGACTCGTATTTCTCTTACCTGCTTCGGTTCACATAAAAAGCAGAACTTCCGGCGCATATATGCGGAGCAAGACTTCGCGTGTTTGTTTGGACGGCCACCTTAAAAACTTGAGTGTATTCACAATACGAGCGAAGGAGGGAGAGGGTATGCAGCACTGCGGAGGCTGGCGGAGGTGCTTCGGCAACGGGTGTAATGCGGCCGCTACGAGCGCCTCGGCTGTCTAGACAACACCGCGTCATCCGCTCTGCGACATGGCCAACATGGCAACATCGATATCGTCGATCGGTTCTTGGTTAGAAGTGTGTTACACCACATGCAAACAGCAAGGTCAACCAGACAGTTTGCTTCCCTTTTTTTCCCGTGCATAGCAAATATGAAGTGTTTCTTTTCTGGCATTTGTCTCGGAAACCCAAATTTGAGTATAACAAATGCACTGCCTAA